TTTTTAGCTTTTTTTTTGGCACGAAACTAACTGAGAGCCAAAAAGAAAAGAAAAACTATACATCTCCATCAGATTACTCTTTAAATTTTCCTATTGTTTTTCTGTGAGTCTGATACACTGCACCAAAAATGAAATAACAAATCTAATCTCTGCATTATTCCTGTTACATGGAAATGCTTACCTTACAACTTATGATAAACAAATTTAGTAGAAAGGAAACTTCAGTTATTCTTTGCAGATATTAAAAATTATTCTTTATTTTGATAACTCTAATTCTTTAAATTTTTCAAGTTTTTAAACTTCTTAGGTATTTTTTTTTTGGTACAAAACTAACTGAGAGACAATTCCTTGTTGGAAAACAATTTAGAAACCAATATTTTCATTTAGTAGAAAACTTCAGTTATTCTTTGCAAATGTTACAAATTTGAAAACCCAAAATCTCTAAATTTTCCAAGTTTTTAGCTTTTTTTGTTACGAAACTAACTGAGAGCCAAAAAAGAATGAAAAACTATACATCTCCATCAGATTACTCTTTAAATTTTCCTATTGTTTCCCTTTGAGTCTGATACACTGTAGCAAAAATGAAATAACAGAACTAATCTCTGCATTATTCCTGTTACATGGAAATTCTTACTTTACAACTTATGATAAACAAATTTAGTAGAAAAGAAACTTCAGTTATTCTTTGCAAATTTTACAAATTAATCTTTATTTTGATAACTTTAATTCTTTAAATTTTTTAAGTTTTCCAATACACTGCAGCAAAAATGAAATAACAGATCTAATCTCTGCATTATTCCTGTTACATGGAAATGCTTACCTTACAACTTATGATAAACAAATTTAGTAGGAAAGAAACAATTCCTTTTTGGAAAACAATTTAGAAACCAATCTTTCCATTCAGTAGAAAGAAAACTTCAGTTATTTTTTGCAAATGTTACAAATTTGAAAACTCAAATTCTCTAAATTTTCCAAGTTTTTAGCTTTTTTTTTGGTACGAAACTAACTGAGAGCCAAAAAGGAAGAAAAACTATACATCTCCATCAGATTACTCTTTAAATTTTCCTATTGTTTCCCTTTGAGTCTGATACACTGCAGCAAAAATGAAATAACAGATCTAATCTCTGCATTATTCCCGTTACATGGAAATGCTTACATTTCAAGTTATGATAAAGAAATTTAGTAGAAAGGAAACTTGAGTTATTTTTTGCAAATGTTACAAATTAATCTTTATTTTGATAAATCTAATTCTTTAAATTGTTTAAGTTTTTAAACATCTTAAGTATTTACTTTTTTTGGGACAAGACAAATTGAGAGACAATTCCTTTTTGGAAAACAATTTAGAAACCAATCTTTTCATTTAGTAGAAAGAAAACTTCAGTTATTCTTTGCAAATGTTATAAATTTGAAAACCCAAATTCCCTAAATTTTCCAACTTTTTAGCTTTTTTTGGTACGAAACTAACTGAGAGCCAAAAAAGAAAGAAAAACTATACATCTGCATCAGTTTACTGTCTAAATTTTCCTATTGTTTTCTTTTGAGTTCGACACACTACAGAAAAATCAAATAACATATCTAATCTTATTACATATTATATATATTTAAAGATCTTATACTTTGGATTATTTCTGTTACATGTAAATCCTTAACTTACAACTTTTGTTTCATTTATAAAACTACAGATATTACAAATTAATCCTTATTTTGAAAACTCTCATTCTTTAAGTTTCCCACGACTTAGGAACTTTGCTTTCTGTTGGCAAGCGTATTAAAAACAATGTTTGTTATGAAACAAGTTACAAATAATTATAGAAAAAAAATACTTCTACAGTGATATTAGTAAGTAAATTTGTGAAAAGAATGAAATGAATTTAAAAAAGTAGTTCTAGATTGATTGAGTGTCATAACGGTAGTTAGGATGAGACTGGGACACCTATTGTTTTGACTTGGATACACAATCAAAACGTCAATAATAAATGCAGTGTCGTCAGCGACGGCGGCGATGGCTGCACGGCTTCCCCTCTCGCTGTATGCACTGAATATTATATAACATTGTGATGTGGGTGAGTGTGTATGTACTGTATGCATCGATTGTCGGAAATAAAGGCGTTTGTGTGTTCGGATTGACATGGTTTTCAATGGGGGAGGGAAGAGTGAGTGTATGAGAGAGAGAGAGAGTGAGATGAAGGGATGGTTTTAATAATGAATGCGAAGGGAGGGTGGTTTTGGATAAAGACGAGATGCGATTAGAAGAGTGCGGCACGAGTGTGTTGTGTCTGGTGGTATCGATCGGCCGAAAAGCGAGGGTGGCTAGACGCCCCGCGTTTATGGGTCCTGTGGGGTGGTTTTGGCAGAGCGGCGGCTGCTGCCACTGCTGCACCCCTTTTGCACACACACACACCCATTCACAAGTATATATACGTATACACGCACATCCAGACGTATACGAACACACCCATCAATGATGATAATAATAATAACCAGAGCAGACAACAAAAGGAACCTTGAATGTTTTCATTTCCTACCGTCGGGGAAGGACAGAATCGAAACATCGAAAATCAGGAAATTGAATGAAAACAATACACGTTCACTTCAATTTACTCGGTTACGTTAATTGTTCGCTGCGATTCATTAAATGATATTTTAAATGGTTTAAACCTGATAGTCTCTGCAAGAAGAAAATATAAATAACGTTTGTGAGTACGAAGAACCACATTCATTCACTACAGAATATCTGTTTTAAAGCTCTTAAATTAACCAAATTTATGAAAATATTGATAAAAAATCATCCGCAAACAAATTACATTAATAATGAAATTGAAGTCGAACTTCAAAATATTTCGAGCTTGTTTATTTTCTATAGCGAATATTACAATTTTACTATTGTCTTCTGTATTTGATGTATTTCCAAATCGTATATTAGCTTTTATTTACGCGATTTTGATTTGAGTAAAAAATTCCACGTGGAATTGAAATTGCGTAAATTCGGAACCTTATAATTACATTATTGAACAAAACGAATGCTTAAATCATAAATAATTATATAAAGAAAAAGTTTTTTTTTGTACTATTACTATTAAATGAATCGTTACTTATATACTACATCTCTTACGTAAAAAAAAAAGTTAGCAAGCAAAACTATTTCGCTGTATTTAACGGTCGTAAAATATTTTGTTTAAATTGTTGTGGGCTCACATCCCAATTTATAATGCATTGTAGAACGTGAATGAAACACCTACAGAGCCTCATTTTTTTTTTTGTGTGTGTGTGTGTATATCTATATATTTCGTGCCTCGTTCCACGATCTTTTCTTGGAAAAGCGTGGGCGGAAAATTAATTTCGCTTCTGACGGCTGCAGCAACCGATGCGAGAATTACTTCGCACGGGTCGTTATCCCCCTTTTTTTTTTTGATATTTCGGCGCAGTCTCTATTTATTTTTATTTATCCCTCTCCACCAACGAATCCACGCTGTTTGGAGGAGGTAAAAACGTTTTTTTTTTCTTTTCTCTCAGTGTTATTTCACTTTTTTCGGGGGTTGGCGTCGGAAAATGCGCCAGCGCCGCTTTCAGGGTGGGCGGCTTTCCCAGGAAGGAAGAAAGAGAGAGGGTGAGGCGGCGGCGGCGGCGTCGGCGTGTTTTTATGCGTCGCGGATTTCACTTTCCCAGTTCCACGACCTTGTACTGCTGCCCGGTTTGCAAGGGCTCCCGTCTAGACTAAAACCCACCCCCGGAAAAAAAAACCACCCTCATGACTGAAAGAGAGACAGACGGGTTATTTTAGGCCATTCATTCCACCTTATCATAATGTCATCCGATATTCGACCGTTGCCATATCAAAATACAAAAAAAGAAAGAAAACATTTTCCCTTTTCATCCCTTCATCCATAAATTATCTCCATTTTCACATCATCCTTTAATTATTTGTTCTGATTATTCACACTTTCATTGACATCGCGCATATCCATTCATTTTCATTACATTCACATCACTTACAATTTTCGTCATATACTTTTATTTATTCTCATAGCTTTTTGCGCACCATGTAAGGACGTCCCGTTAATAAAGATCTCGGTGTATCTTCTAATTGGGTTTCGGCTATTTTTTTTGGCCAACGGCGTTCGGTGTAGTTGTCGAAAGGAAATGTCCGCCAGATGTGACGGTTTTTGGCAAATGGAAAAAGGGAAATTTGGCTCTCACTTTCTCGTCCATTATTCATCATTTTTATTAGAGATATATGTACGCATCGTCTGAAACGATACAATTATTTTTTTTTTTTTGAAAACCACAACTAGTTTCAATTTTTACATAAAATTTGTTTTCAAACTCAAATAACTTCATAGTTCAAGAATATGCTTTGATAGTTTTATATCAACTATAGTGTAGATGCAATATAGTCCAAAATTCTTGAAGATCAATTCCAAGAAACACCTAACTAATGTTTTCTTTCCTAATTTGATAGTTTAATACTGAATATGAGATATATTTTTAGTAGTATAGATTCATCATTTGGCTCTCACTTTCTCGTCCATTATTCATCATTTTTATTAGAGATACATGTACGCATCGTCTAAAACGCTACAATTACTTTTTTTTTAAAACCACAACTAGTTTCAAGATGATCTGATACACTTTTAGATAGCTTTTACATAAAATTTGTTTTCAAACTTAAAAACTTCATATTTCAAGAATTTATACAGATAATAAATTATAAATAATCCTTTTATTGAAGCACCTAAGTAATGTTTCTTTTAATTTGATGGTTTAATGCTGCATCCACTATATGCTTTGATAGTTTTATATCAAGTATAGATGCAAAATAGTCCAAAATTCCTGATGTAACGTTTTCCTTCCTTATTTGATAGTTTACTACTTAATATGAGATATATTTGTAACTTGGATATAACGTATATTGTAGATTCATCATAACAAAAATGTACTATCATTAATAAGTTTGAAGATCTAAACACCTATGTTCTAATTTGGTAATTCTTTTGTTTCAGATTGTGATAGAATGACACGCCTGGAGCCGCGACGGTAGTGCAGCGCCCCTCCCTCAAAAGCGGAGATCACTCAAGAGAAAACACACACACACACGTAGAGGGTGTGTTTTCTTTTCAGTTTTCTTTTGTTGTTTCGTTTCTTTCCTCTGATTTCGTTACGTTTTTCTTTTTTAAATTCATTCGTTACGTTTTCCTTGGAATCATCGTGCGACGATCACCTTCTTTTCGCGAGGATGGAAATCAAGCACGACATGTACCGCGATGAAGTCTTGCTGGTCAAGACCGAGCCTCGTCTTCACTCACCGAACGGTTTGCAGACTGCAAACGGACCTACGAACGGTTTGGTGACATTGGCAAGCAGCAGCAGTGGCCATAGCAGTTCAGTGACGAACGGCCTTACGAACTCAAATGGACTTAGTGCTAGTAGCAACGGCAATGGACCGTTCAGTAGTTTAAGTAAGAGGCCTCGAACCGACGAGTGGCTCCCTAGTCCAGGTGGTGCTACAATTATTGGAGGCGGCGTAGGGACCAGTGCACCCCTAACGCCCTCACCAGGGCCGCCGTCCAACACCTACACTGCCATTAGCAACGGGTATTCTTCTCCAATGTCTTCAGGCAGCTACGATCCTTATAGTCCCAATGGCAAAATAGGTAAGTCATTACCTTAGTTACGAACTATCACCCATGGTTACTATTATTGTTGTTGCTAAGGAAGCAAATCATTATATCAAAATGTCAATTGTGACAGAAAGTAACTTCAAAAAGTTGTCTTCAGTTATAATTCAGTTAGAAGGAAGCACTAAATAATGGATGGTATATATTTCAAAAAGATTGAACATCTTTTTAAATTACTCTCAAAGTAGTCAAGTAAAAATAAGCAAGCAACAAAGTAAACAAAGTAAAAAAATCCAGAAGGAATAAAAGATTTACGATATGAGTCAATGTCGTGTACTTATCCTTCTTGCATACTTATCCTTTTTGCGTATGTGATAAGTGTTCTCGTGTCCTATAATGAGACGGACGAATTTATTGCGGTCTAATTACACGTACGAGACAGCCGGTTGTCACCCATGAGGATAAATCATGGTGGCTGAATTTTATGACCTTCCCAAGAAGAAGTGCACACACACAAAAAAAAAACCTAAAGCGAAAGTCAGTTATTAATTACCGTTGAAACTCTTTGTTTATTTATATACATTGTAAATAAAAAAAAAAGTAAAATGAGAAATTGAAGACTGGGTGGTTTGATTCGTGGTGGAGGTTGAAATAAAACAAGCAAGACGTTCATTATTTATACACAAACGTCTTCGGGTACGTAAACAGGAGGCTGAGAAATGACGTGGGGTACCAGTAAAACGTGCAATGATGGAGATTATTTGGCACAGAGACCAAAGTAAAAATGTGCGCCCGAATAAAGAAGGAAACTGTTTATTTCTTCTTTTGCTCTTCTTGTGTTTTTTTTTTGTTGTTTTTGCTTCGTGACGGCCTACAAATAATACCAACCAATCTGGATGGAATTGGTTTGGATGGATTGCTCATCCATACCTCTGACCGCACGCATCTTAGACGTCTGTGCCCGAGTCTATAAATAATTTCCGTTAATTATTTATACGGTTTATAAATAAAACTGGCTGCCCCGAAAATAAACAGAAACTCGCAGCTCTTGTTTGGATGACTTCTATATATATTTGTGCATACTATATAGTGTGTATGGTGCATTTGCTGCACCATCGATGCCTCGATTTAATGAATGAAACATCTCGAATGAAATTCATTCAAAGCCTATCGAACCATTGACCTTTCCAAATAGAAAATATTGTAATTTTTATTTATAGATATAATAGTCTATTTCTTGTTGTTTCCATTATAAATACGTATATTATATATATATATATATATATTTTTGTGTGTACTTATTTTTTCGATTCAAAGGCGATAAAATTTCTTGGCAAAGCCTACTACTACTCCAAAATGTAAACAAAATGCTATAACCTAACCTACTTATTTATTTTGTTTTTTTCGAATCTCCATTAAAATAGTTCAAAGCAAACAATTTATAATAATCATATAAGTCTTTAAGTTTTAAATCACTCAATTTAACTTTTATTTAGAATTTAGTATATATCTATTTTGTTCCATTTTCTACTTCTAATTGTTGATTTTTTTTTATTTTGAACTTCAAATTTTTTTATATTCTCTGATTCCTTCTTTCTATTTATTTAATATCTTTTCTAAATTTCTCTACTTAAGTGTTTTATATTTAAAAAAACATAATTATCTTAATCATTTCACAAAGTTTAAAAAAACATAAATGATATTTAACCGGAAATTGTAACTAAATTTAAATAATTTCCTTTTTTTTGTTGAAAATTTGCAGATGAAAAGGCACATATTTCAAAACGAAATTTTTTTTTTTTTGAAATGTAACAAATGGTTCAGTCTTTTAAAATATAAAAATAAAAACTATTTTTTCACAATTGGAATTTGTGAGTTAACCGGAAATTGATATTCTCTGGTTCCTTCTTTCTATTTATTTAACATCTTTTCTAAATTTCTCTACTTAAGTATGTTATATTTAAAAAACATAATCATTTCTTAAAGTTTCAAAAAAATAGAAAAGTTTAATCGAATGTTACAAGGTATAAATATAATTCTAAAAATTGTTTTTTTTTGTCTCTTTCGTATTGGGATTTCATATTTAAAGGGAAATTGAAACTAAATTTAAATAATTTCTTTTTTTTGTAGAAAATTCGCAGACGAGAAGGCACATATTTTAAAACGTAAAAGTTTTTTTTTGACATGTAACAAATGGTTCAGTCTTTTAAAATATAAAAATAAAAACTATTTTTTCACAATTGGAATTTGTGAGTTAACCGGAAATTGATATTCTTTGGTTCCTTCTTTCTATTTATTTAACATCTTTTCTAAATTTCTCTACTTAAGTATGTAATATTTATAAAACATAATCGTTTCATAAAGTTTCAAAAAAATAGAAAAGTTTAATCGAATGTTACAAGGTATAAATATAATTCTAAAAATTGTCTTTTTTTGTCTCTTTCGTATTGGGATTTCATATTTAAAGGGAAATTGTAACTAAATTTAAATAATTTCCTTTTTTTGTTGAAAATTCGCAGACGAGAAGGCAAATATGTGCCAAAACGTAAAAGTTTTTTTTTCTTGAAATGTAACAAATGGTTCAGTCTTTTAAAAATAAAACTATTTTTTTTTGACAATTGGAATTCATGAGTTAACCGGAAATTGATGCTAAATCGAAATTTAAGTTTATTTTTTTGAAATTCGCAAATATTTCAAATCGTAAGTTGTTTTAAAATGTACCAAATGTTTTAGACTTTAAAAATATAAAAATTTAAAAATAAAAACTATTCTTTTTTTAATATCTTTTTTTCAGTTACAATTCAAAATTAAACCGGAAATTGTTACAAGATCTAAATCAATTTTTGTTTTAAATTCTTAAGAAAGAATGCAAATATTTCAAAACGTAACAAAGTTTTTTTTTTGTTTGAAATACATTAAATGTTTCAGACTTTTTAAATTATAAAAATGTAAAAATAAAATCTATTTTTTCAAATTATTTTTAGAATTGAAATTCAAGATTTAACTGGAAATCGATGTTAAATCAAAATTTAAGTTTTTTAAAAATTTCAAAATTTAACAAAGTTTTTTTTTTAATATACGAAATAAGGGCGACTAATAAGGGCGACGAATGGTTAAGTCGTGCCAGTGGTCACAGGTTCAAATCCTGGTCAAGCCAGGCCCTTTGTGAGCCCTCTCGGTGCTTGCAGCAATAAATAAAAACTATATTTTTTTAGTTCTTTTTACAATTGGAATTCAAAACTGAACCGGAAATTGATGTTGAATCGAAATTTTAAGTTTTTTTTTTAATTTGGATATTCGCATGCGACACCGTTTCATAATACCGCAGGGAATGTCAGCCAACTGGGTTACAGTGTTTATTTTCGACGATTACGCAACGGAAACGGCTCTCTTTGAACCCGGACCATCGACGTCCATGTATGCCTGCATGCACTGCTTTGACTCCTCCAGAACGACGAATTAATTCGCTTTGACTCTCATGTTTGTGTGTACCATCACACACCGTTTTCCATATTCAAACACATTTTTTTTAAATCATTCATCTCTGGAATTTTGATGATTTTAAGCTTCATCAATATAAATATTAAGATGAAAGACTTGTAGTAAAAATGACAACAGAATAAAGTAAAATTAATAATGAAATAATTGTTGTTAAAAGTTGATTTATAAAATTAAAACGCGAAAAATTAAAGTCCGAAAAATTGAAGAAAATTTAGTGAAAATTCAGATATAATCATATAAAACAGTAAAATTCAAATAAAAAAAATCAAATGAAAAATTGACAAAATCAGACGAATTATGGTTTGAATCATTACATAATGCAGAGTTTCCCAAACTTTGTTGGTATAATTGCTTAAATAAATAATGCATTTTAATTCTCATATTTTAAATTTTATTGATTGAAAAGTTCAACTTGAAATTTTTGTGTATTGAACTATAGTAAATCCTTACATTCTTCTTTATATGTTTTTAATGCCTTTTTGAAATTTCTTAAGTTAAGACTTAAGAAAACATAATTTATTGAATCCATTCATAATGTCTCAAAAACATAGAAAAAATTTAATGAAAATAAGTATAACTTATGTGAAAATTTCAGTATTTAAAAAGTTTGAGAATTTTTGACTTAATGAATGATTATATTTATTTATTGTTAAATTGTTGTTATTGTTTCAAAGTTAGAACAATTGTGAGTTAGAAAATCCAATTTTTTAGATAAAATGATTGACTCATCCAAAATTTATGAAGAAAACACAGAATGATTAATTTATTTATAGATTGAATGTCTTTGAAATGAAGCTATGTGCTTTATAAAGTATAGTTTCTAATATAAAGGATGCAATGTGTAAAGTTAAGGTGTCAACGTATATCTGGGAAAGTGGATTGTCCTCCTAGTTGGATGGATGAAGCCGAGCATATTGGAACTAGTTTGCTAGACGAATGTGCGTTGGGAAGAAGGGAAGAAGCAGGGTTTTTATGCAGGCAACGGTGGGAAATATTTTAGAGAAGCCTTTGGTGTGAGTGTGTGATATTACTCAGCGCCATCGGATCTTGGGTGATTCAGTTCGGTCTGGACTTGGGCCAATCTGAAATTGTGGGCTATTCTTGGAGATTTATGACCTCGCGCACTGCACATCAAGCACGGACATTGATTAACAAACACAGACACATACACACATAAAAAAAAAACGAGAAGAAAATCTTGAAAAGAGCACCTGAATTTTCATTAAGTTTGCAAATTGCTCCATTTCGCATAGAATAAGAATCCATCGACGTGTCGTGTTGTGTCGTGTCTCTTCCTTCAGGTTATTAACCCCGGAGGCGTTGCATAACAATAGTTACGTTACGAATCGATAGTATATGATATTCTATCCACATTTGTGCGAGTGTATGCGCCTTCCTAGTAATGCAATATGCATACTGCATTTGACGATGATGCGTTACCAGGAAAAAATTGCAAACTCTAAATGCAGTCCGTTGGTTTTGCGGCGATATGTTAAAATGTTCACTACGTGATCGGACTGCCACCTCGTGCTCTCCTGTACTTTGGTTTAAACGACGCCGGGGAAATGATA